GTGGGGAGCCCCACCAAGGGCCCTACCCTGCCTGGGGAGTGGATGGGGTGGGGGACAGGTGGGGGTTGGGGAGGAGGGCTTGGGGAAGGTGTGGGAGAAGGGAGTGACATGTTAAGCAAGCTTGTTCCTAATTTGAGCTAATAAAAAAATGTAAAAAAAAAAAGCTGGCTCTCAGAATCAGGAGTACATTGAGGCTGGGACTAGCACACTAAACAGAGAAAAGGATCCCTGTAGATTTCATAAAGCCCATTAGTGCCCACCACAACCTACCACATGTAAATATATTCATGAAAGATAGCATTTGTTCTCTTCTGATGTACCTTCAGTGTCTTCAAGAGTGTCTATCACATAGTAGGTGATCATCAAAATTTGTTTATTGAATGGGACTGTCAATAGAAATGAACATTTTTAATGCCTTGCTGCTTAATGTCTTCTACATCCAAGTCAATAAATGTTTCTGGTATCTTCTAGTTGTTTTAGAGTTTTGTATCTTACAGGAACTTACCAATGCCCCAAAAGTCTTTCTTCACTCCTACATGGTAACTGTTTATTTGGGGGGGCTTCTCTGTGTGGCTTTGGAGTTGCTTTGTTATGGCATACATTATATGCAGCAAATGTACAATTATCAAATTTATAAACTGATCAGTTTTCTGTGTGTATACACATCCATGTAACCACCACCCATACTGAGAATCAGAATATTTCCTTCATTCCAGAAAATTCTTTTTTTATGCAAACTGCATGAGGCTTTATTATAGATGTTTAACGAGGTAACCCCATGTTAGCTCGGGTCTTTCATCCACCCATGGCGGATGGCTAGAAAAGACAGCTCGAAGCATCTGCATAGAGATCTTATAGGGCAGCATAAGGGGAGTGTCTAGGGGTACGCACAGGCTCAGGATTGGTGTGCCTCCAGGCTTGGAGGACTTGCCCTGTGTTGATTGTTCAACTGGATGTTATGGCCCATAGGCCCTCCCAGGGTGGTTGCTATGCTCTTTCGTCATTGCTGTGCACTTGTCCGTAAAGCACACCCAGAGCTGTAAATAGCACCACCAGCTAACTTCTGATTGGTTTCTTGCCACGAGGCAGGCATCTAACCTCCTAGTGACTAAGACAAGGTCACACGAGCATGTGTTCGGCTGTTATGGCTGCTGAAATGGGGAGCTGGTCCCTTCATTCCCCCATTTTTTTTGAAATTCCAATCATGGAATTGCTGTCTCTCCCACATCCCCATCAGGGAATGAGAGATATTGGCATCCCCCATGTAAGGGAGTTCCTTCTGACTTAGCATTTCAACCAGGGAAAATGGGCGACATATCAGAAAATTCTTTATTCCCCTTTACAATCAATAATAGTTTCTCAAGGAGCTGGAGAAATAGCTCAGTACTTCGAGTTTTTACTGCGCTTTCAGGAAACCCAAGTTCAGTTCCCAGCACACATATTGTGTGGCTCACAACTGCCTGTAACTTCAGGTCCAAGGAATCTGACAATCCTCTTCTGGATTCCACAAACACATGTACATAGTCACAAATATTTTTTTAAAAAAAATAATAGTTTCTCCAATACAGTTAACCATTATTCTGACTTCCCTCACAGAAGAGTATGGAAATGAACCAAAAATCTCACATTTTAGAACAAAATAATTGAAATATTTTTAAATGTAAGGGCAAACATTGCAACAATTAGAAATTTAAACATAAATACTGGTTGTCTTGTTTTACACATTGACAAACACTGGTTAAAATTGATGGAAATAGAGACAGTAGGGGCAAACTAGATTGAACAAAGAAGGAACATATGAAGTTGATCACTCCTTTCCTTTCGCCATCCACCTGAATGTGGAGTTTGTGTGTGGAGAATTGGGAAAGGCCCATTTTGTCCATCTGGATACCCATCTCATGATGGGGATCCCTGCATTGGGAAAGCCATCCTATGTCATAAGTGAATCTAGGGTGGTTTTCAAAATATTTTTAATTTTTAGTTAATTTTTATTTAAATTAAAAACAATCTTATTTTACATACTAATCCCAGTTCCCTCTCCCTCCTGTCCTCCCATTCACCTCACCAATCCCCCCATCCCACCCCTATCCATTCCCCAGGGATGGTGAGGCCCCCCATGGGGATCATCAAAGTTTGTCACATCATTTGGGGCAGGGCCTAGGCCCTCCCCCATGTATCTAGGCTGAGAGAGTATGCTGGAGAGGATGTGGAGAAAGGTGAACACTCCTCCATTGCTGGCGGGAATGCAAACTTGTACAACCACTTAGGAAACCAATATTTTTAATTTTTCTTTGTTCTCTGGGCATGTGTGTGATTTCTATGTGTGAGCATGGGGGTTCTCTTCTCTCTGCCTCCCATCTGGGACAATGGACATTTGACACGATGCCCAACTTTACATATGTTCTGAAGATTCCAACTCAGGTCCACACATTTGCAAAACAAGCACTTTAACCCACTGAGCCCACTTCATAGCCATGAATCTACTTTTTGATGAAGAAAAAAAAAGATGTCAAGATTTGACTGAGTAGAAGAATTGTTTGTGACAGCCATCTACTCAATCATTTGCACTCAAGTAACATGGGTATGTCATTGCACCTGAGTAAAATTAACTTTGTCATACTTGTAAACTATAATAAAGCCTTTACTCAAATACCCAGTTTTCCAAACATGTTCCTTATTTACATCTAGTGCCTTCAATTAAAATAATAAGAGAGAAATTCAGTCACAATTCCTCCTTATAAAACTTTTATTAATGCCAGAAATGAAATAGTAAAAGTGAAATAAAATTGAAAAATCAGTGTCATTGTAGGTATAGAGATAATATGAAGGGGCGGGGCTAAGGAGATCATTAAGAAGAGGAATGTTTGTGGGCTTCTTCAGTTTGGACACTGAACTACAGGCCATGATGATTCCAGGTCTATTTTTGTGCCTTTATAGGCAGGCTGTGTGGGCCTCAAGCCTCCTTCTTCCCTAAGGAAA